GCGTGTCAGGTCTCCTCCGTGGAGGGGAGAAGGACTCTGGGTGCAGCACAGTCCAGACCGGCCTGAGCCTAATCTTGCGGCATCAAGCTTTCCGGCCTGGTGCTATAGCAACAGCCCCTGCGTTGTGCGCTGCGCGGCGCAGAGAGGAGCGCAGCCCTCTGTTATCTCCGTCTGCAGCGTGCAAAGGCCGACAGCTTCCAGCCAGGAGCAGACCCGTCTCCCCAGCAGCTGTCTGGGCTCTCGTGCCCCTGGCACACCGGGGACTGGGATGGCTCAGCAGCTTTCACAGCAATGTCTGGGGTAGATGTCGGAGATGTGGACTGTCAGTTGTGTGTGCGTGCACACAAGTATGTGCATAGGCACACGGGTGGCAAGATTAATGTTGGTGCCGGAGCGAGCAGCTGTGTCTGTCCGTGCACGCTGGGTTTGGCGCGCATTTGTGCCTGCGCGGTGTGAGCGTTACGGGCTGTGCTTGTGAATGGGGAGATGTGGCGGGGTAGGTGTGTAGGGGTAGGTGCAAGTCTGAGCCTGCAAGTCCCGGAAGATTCATGAGAAGAGGCTGAACAGGGCTTGGCTGCAGAGACCCGACAGCTGCAATGAATATGCCAATGTCCCACATCCAGGCTGTAGCATGGGCACTCCCCAGCAAGCTGGGAGCCAAGCAGGGCAAGAGGGAAATGCTTCTGCGTGGAAATCTCATGGAGAAACCGGAGACTTCAATAGTACCCTGAGGAGCAAACAGTGGCAAAGTGCCCACTAGCAATCTGTGCTTGCTTTCTCACTTCCAGGCACTGACTTCAGCCGCCCGCCGCTGGCTCTTCCTGCGCTGCTCCCTCTGCAGCAAGAGCAAGGAGCCCATTAGGGTCGGGCACTGTCTCCCTGCCCGCGTCTACACGAGACACTTACTGCGCAGTAGCCCATTACTACTGCGCAGCTGCTTGTTACTACTGCACAGCAGCATTGCGGAGCCTGGATCACGATGTGACGCTGCGGCACAGGAGTAGCGAGCTACTGCGCACTCAGCATCACCCGGAAGCCGTGCGGAGCCGCTACTGTGCAGTAACGCCGGTTACTGCACGGTTATTTAGTACTTGGGTGTGCAAGTACCAAGTGACTGCGCAGTAACACCTGCACAGCCAGCGTCTCGTGTAGAGGCGGCCCCCGGGAAGGAAATCCCTCCAGGTAACCAGGACACCTCCTGGGCTCCTTCCTGCTAAGCTCAGTAGGTTGAGCTCTTTGGGACTCTCCCCACTGGACATTTTCTCCAGCTCTTGGCTCTTCTTGTGGCTCTTTTCTGTTCCCTCTTTGGTTTTTGAACACCCTTTATCAAGTGGGGACACGAGATGGATGCCGTGTCCCACTGCGGGTCTCGCCCACACCAGAGGTGAAGTGAACGTCCCTGCTCCTAGACACGATCTCGGGGGCTTACACAGACACACGACCGCTGTATCTGAGCGCACCGACTTGCCCTCACCCTGCCACTGTGAGGTGGGGAAGAACCAATGTCCCCACATGCCAGAGCGGGGACTGAGGCTAAGTGACTGGCCCAGGGACACTGAGGGGGCCTGTGGCAGAGCAGGGACTTGAAACTAGGCTCTCTCTCTCCCTGTGTGTGCCTGTGCCCCCTTGGGGGCGAGAGCCAGGTGCTAGGATGTGCTCCGCGTGTCTGGGCCTCCCAGCAGCAGGTGCGGTGCCAGGCATAAAGGGCAGGACACACGCCTCCGCGGGCCTCCGGCCACCGGAACGGTTTCCACCCACCTCGGCCTGGGCTCATTAGATCAGCCTCAGCGATGCTGCGACGGATCGAGGCCAGCAGCAGCCCTATCCCTGTGACTCAGAGGCAAACCCTTTCCCTTCCTCCGTCCCATGCCAATCTCACCGGGTCTACGTCACCACTGACATCGTTACGACCACGACGCCGTAGCCACAGGATCACTTTTCCCTTCCATCCCAGGCCCGCTGGATCGGAGCGAGAGGGCAGGGTTCCCGCAACGTTTAGGGAGACACGGCAGCGCCAGGGGAGTCCAGGCATTAGTCTTCAGCAAAACGTGCCCCGCATTTTGCATTTCAGAAAACCCTCCCCTCTTTCATACGGAAAGGCCTGGAAAGTGGAGGGGAGTTGGGGGCATTTTGCTGGGCAGGACGGAAACCTCAGGCCACACCGGGAGCTATAAACCTCCTGACAAGGGCGGAGCAGGGGGCAGGCCGTGGGGCACGGATGGGATCTCGCTCCTCGAGGCTCCCGCACTTCCCGCTGCTCGGCCCCTCTGCCCTCCCCGTGGCAATGCAGACTGCTTATACCAACAGCCGTGGAGACTCATCGCCCCGCCGCCTGCCGCTTCATCCTTCCCCACACCAGCCGCCGACTCTCCCTTCCACGCTCCCAGAGGCCACTTATTCTTGCTTTCATGGATTTTGGCCAGCCCCTCGAGCTGGGGCTTGACGGAGGTGTGTCAGCTTGCACAGGCGTCGCACCCAGCCTGGAGCACTCGGCGGGGATCGGCACCTTGGGGCACTGCGGCTTTTCCTGCCTGGAGTTCAAGTTTCCAGCGACACGCAGAGCTGCGGCTTACCAAGTGCGACAGAGCAAAGTAACACCTACGCCCCCAGGAAGACCCTGGGACATCTGGAGCGCGTCCCCACCTCGTGTCAGGATGGATGGATGCAGCCCCTCAGGGAACACCTTCCGAGAGCAATGACTGCAGCTTGCTGTGCGAAGCCACCCACTCCCTGCGGAAGAAGAGCGCGGCAGCGCGCTGTGGGCTCTCGCAGCTGGGCCAGGCTTTGCTTGTTTGCTGGTAGTTGTGCTCGACAGCTGGGCTCTTCTGGCATGCCTTCGCCCCCGTGCAGGGCAGCCCCAGCCCCTTGGTGGGACCGAAGATGCTCAGGCTTTGCACCCGCCTCTCCCATTTTACCGCTTGCTGGTTGTAGACCCCAAGGAGAGGGTGAATAAGAGGCAGTCCCTGCCTCGAAGCATTTCCCCTAGTGCTAAGTCTCAGCCAGCTGCTTGCTCAGCCAGGGCGCACAGACTTTGTCTTGCTGCACCAGCCGGCGCCTTGCCAGCTGCCCAAGGGTCACGGCAGATTGCAGCAGCGCTTGCTTACCGGATCCCAGTGGCGGCAGTGGAAAATCTTGCTCATCTCTGCCCCAGAGAGCACTGCCCAATGGGGGCTGCAGTTCCCACGGGTTTCCAGTGTTAGGGGCGCTGGGAGCAGTGCCAAAGATCCCCCTGGGCTGATTCGGACGGGACTTTGCTGCCTGAGCCGCCCTGGCCGGGCTGCTTTCACTTAGCAAAGGAAAATCCAAGCAAGGCTTCACCTCCTCCCTGGCTTCCTTAAACAGGAACCGCGCCGGGCGCACTGTAAACAAGGAAGTCCTAAAACAAATCAGCCCTCTCCCACAAAGGTCGCTCAGCTGCAGCACACGGCGCCGGCACGACAAACCAGCCTCGGACGCGGCTCCCCCAAGCCGCACGCTCCCAGGCAGCGCATGGCTGCAGAGCTCAGCCGGCGCCAGTGTATGATACCCAGCCCCAGGGCTGCGTGAGGATGGCTGCCCGAAAGGATCCCTTCTCCCCGAGGACAGCCAGCAAAGTCTTCACGCCCAGGGCCCCAGCACCTTCTGCTGCAGGCCAGAGGCACATGCCGTGAGGTCTGCCTAGCTCTTTGCAGCAACAGCTGCCTGGGGAGTCGGGGTGCTGCTCCCAGGCCTGGTGCGTTCCCACTTCTGCTCACAACAGCGCTCCCCACTCCTTGCAAGACCCACGCGTGCATTAAATACCCGGGTCAGTTTTGGCCAGCCACAAATATGCAGAGCGAGATGCTCATCCCCCTTCTTTACTCTGCGGCTAACAGGAAAGTCGAGTGGGTCCGAGCGTGGTGGAGATGCTCTTTGCCGAACCTCACCTGGCGCAATACGGGAGCCGTAGGCAAGAGCGATGGGGGAAGAAGGATAGACTGGACTGGAGGCAGCAGAGAGGAGAAGCCGTGCCTGGAGGGACGGGGCTGCCGGGGGGGAACGGAGGGTTTTGTTGCTCTACCGCGCGCACAAACCACCCCTAGTGCAGGAAGAGAAGCGCCGGGGGCTCGAGACCTGCCTGTCGGGTGGCTCACTGAGCTGCCTGGGTTGCTTGCACTTGGGCCGCGGCTCCGGGTGCCTCACGCTCGCTCGCAGCCCCGTGGGAAACGCACGGTGCAGGGCTTCCCTGCACTGAGCTCTGGGGCTGGCCGGGGTCTCCAGCAAGCTCTCTGCATGGTTTTTAGGTGTGTCCTGGGAGCCCGGGAGAAGTGTTGGGGAAAGGGGCATCGTTATCAGGGTCCCCCTCTCAGCTGCTGACCTGTCTTCTGATTTTCAGTGTAACGGGGCAAAACGGAGCAGATGTTCCTCTGCCTGACGCAGCTGAGGATGTTTTCATTAGGTAATGGACACACGGCACCCTCCTCTTCCTCCTCGCCAGCACATCTGCACATGAGATGCAGCATCCTTGTGGCGCGTGGCAGGGGCCGAGCGGGAAAGGGGCAGGCTGAGTGACACCTGGGGGTGCCGGCCCCCACACATCTGCTTCACGGCCTCTCTGCCCCGGCCACAGGGCAGGACCTCGGTGCTAGGCTCCGGTCAGGGCAGAGACTTGGAACCGGGAAGGCAAACGTGACGGAGACAGAGACTCTGGTGCCAGCAAAGGCCTGGGTTTCTGCGAGTGGGGTCTGGACAACATCCTCGGTTAAACACCTGCCATCTTTTGATTTACGCTGCGGAGGATGAGGCTGTCCAGGGCAGCAGCCTGGACAACCACGTTTCTCCTGAAGCCAAGCTTCAATCCTGGCTACTGACGCACCATCTGCACAGGGCACGTCTGGGAACAGTGCTCGAGGTAACAAAGCAGGGCACCAGCGCAACACGGACGCCTGCAGCGCCTGCCCCTCGCGGGTGGGCGGGCCGGCGGGCGGGCATGCAGCTGGAGAGGGTGGGCTCAGGAAGGTGATGGCCCCGATCAGGAGAGCGCTGCAGGTCTCCTGAGATGCTCCCGGGCGGAGACCACGAAGCAATCCTAACCTGCCTCCATCGTGGATGCCTGTCCAAACGCATTGGAACAACGTCCTAGTGCATGCCGTTTTCAACTTTGCTAACTTCACACTAAAAGCAACTAAAGTCCTGGAAAAAATCAGGCTGCAGCTCGCAAAGGAGCCCCGGGGATTAGGTGCCTTGCTTCCACTGAATCTCAGTAGGCTGCAAGTGTCTAAATCCCAGAGGCTCCTCTAGAAATACCACCCCATGTCGCTGTCCCTTCTTAAACAAAAGCCCTTGGTCCCAGTCTCGCGGCTCGTCCGGAGAGAGCGGCACTATTCCAGTCCCTTCTCAGAGCAGAAGCAAATGTCAGCTGCGTGAAAGTGCTCGTGTGCCGGGAAGCACTTGGCTTTTGCGCTCCTTCTCCACAATGCTGGCATCTGCAATCATTTTGGTAAATAGGTCTGCTGCTCCTAATAGCCCCTGGCTGGATCTCTGCTTAGGGCCCAGGCTCGGGCAGCGGGCTGGCACTGCACCGCCCTGAGACCGGCACCTCCGAAGTGAAAGGCAGTGGGAAAGCCTGGGGGTCGGGCGCGCACGGGAGAGGCTCCGTTCTTCCCACGCCGACCTTTCCCATCTCCTCCCTGCTCCCCCGAGCGAGCGCTCCCACAAAGGAAGTGTCCCGGGACGCAGGCCGTTCTATTTTGACGTTAAGGGGATCTAATAATAGGGCTGGTAAGTGGAGGGCCCAGCGCTGGGTGCTCTCCAACAAGCAGCTCGAGCACCGAGGGGAATTCCAAGTCCAAACACACGCAGCCTTTTAGCTGTGTGCATCCCAGGGCTCACAGCCCAGGGGCAGGGAAACCTGGGCTTGATACCTGACTACATGGCCCTGGGTAAGCCTCTTCTGCCTCAGTTTCCCCTGCAGTAACTCCCACCCTCCGCACTCTGCAGATGCTTGCACTAAGTGAGCCAAAAATGCCATGTCCTGCAGATTGACAGAGCAATGCATGGCTTGGGACGCTGGACTCAGCCTTCTCCTTTCCCTGGATCGCCAAAGACATGCACACACCTGCCGTCTGAAGCGCCGGGAGCCCAATGATGGACGGTTGCAAGGGGCAGCATTAGCAGCCCAGGGCACAAGGAAGGGAGATTTTCCCATCCTCAGTGATGGAAATAGCCACCGATGCACACTGTCACCCAGCTGCAAACTTACAGCTGGGAACCCAGGCAAAAAGCCCCTGAAGACAAGTCCTTCCCCAAAAAGCACGGGAAGCCTTGGCCCCATCTGGGCAGCCTTGCTCGTTTTGATATCTCTGTAGACACAAACTACAACGCTGCTGCCCGGTTAGCCAAATAACTGGGGGTGAGCCCCCGAGCCAGGACGCTGGTGTTTGCTCTGTCTGGAATTTGGTCTCACGCCACCCCAGCGCTGTCATCTGCTGATGTGTGATACTCCGACCCTCCTTTAATTAAAGCTTGTGCTGATGTCAGGGAGATTAAATGCTGCTGGGGCCAAATCTCCGCAACAAAGCGCCCACCGCGCACTTCTGCACGGCCGGCAGCCGCCGTGTTTTGACAGCAGGATTATCTCCTTGGCTCTCGGCTCCTGGCACAGCTTGTGCAGGCAGCTCCCAATGCCCCCTTCTTTCCCCCCAGCCCTGTTAGATGGGAGATGATACCTCATGCTCCGGTGAAGGGGCTCGTTCCTCCCAGGCTGGGAACACCGGGAACCTCCGCTACAGACCTGCGGGACTCCCGGCACCCCGGACTTTGTGCTCTATCTAAAGAGGAGTGTGCAGCTTCTTCCCGAGGGCCCTCCTGGGACTCGAGGGGCCAAACCCCCTTGCTCTGCCCGCAGACAGGCCTCGTCTTGGGGGCAGAACTGCCCAGCTGCAACGGGTGCGCCCCTGCCAGCTCTTTCCTCCATCCCGCCAGTCCTCGCCGCCCCCCAGACTCCCTGTGCTTGCGCCCTAAAGCTTTTGTCCAACAACTGGGTCGGTCTGATGAAGGACATGCATGCACCCACAGCCCCTGCTGCTGTCCCCGGTGCCGGAGCCCGGAGGGGG